CTCTTATTATGTTCGTCTAGCTTTCAAATTTTTTAAAATTAGAAAATGCAGGTAATTTATAAAAGATTTCAAGGTCATAATATAAGAAACCCAGTTAACCAAAATAATAAGGAGGCCTGGTGGTAAGCAACCTGCCAGTCAAAAGGCATGTACCACGAGTTGCTGTACCGGAGAAAAATAGGCAGTCTCCTCCAGTGCAATTAACTGTCTCTGAAAACCAATTAGAGGGTCAGCTATGATTTGGTTCTGACGCAATGGTACATAACAACAGCAGCCAAGATAATATTTATGTTTACACTGCATTGATTCTATTCAGTTAGTTGTGTGTCCTGTTTCTTGTTCACAGATAGTTCTACTGAAGATATGGAGAATGGAAGCATCTCAACTGTGACTGAATTTGTCTTCATTGGCTTCCCCCAGCTCCATAATGGTGGCCTCCTGTACTTCTTTCCTTTACTTTTCATCTATACCTTTGTTGTTATTGGGAACTTACTGATTTTTGTTGCAGTGAGGATAGATACACGTCTCCACAATCCCATGTATCATTTTATCAGTCTCTTCTCATTCCTTGAGATGTGGTACACCACAGCTACCATCCCTAAAATGTTATCTAATCTAATCAGCAAGCAAAAGACTATCTCTTTCATTGGTTGCCTCTTACAGATGTACTTCTTCCATTCGCTTGGAAACACTGAAGGGTTTTTGCTCACTGTCATGGCCATTGACAGGTATATAGCCATCTGTAACCCACTCCACTATCCAACAATCATGACACCCCGGCTCTGTGTCCAACTCTCTGCAGGCTCTTGCGTCTTTGGTTTCCTAATCCTTCTACCTGAGATTGTGTGGATTTCAACTTTACCTTTCTGTGGTTCCAATGAAATACATCAGATCTTCTGTGATTTCACCCCTATACTGAATTTGGCCTGTACTGATGCCTCAGTGATCCTGGTCCAAGATGTGATTCATGCTCTTGCTATTCTATTAACAATTCTGATTATTTCTCTTTCTTACATCAGAATTATCATCGTGATCTTGAATATCCCTTCAGCTGAAGGCCGCAAAAAGGCCTTCTCTACCTGTGCTGCCCACATTGCCGTCTTTGTGTTGTTCTTTGGCAGCGTGAGCGTCATGTATCTTAGATTTTCTGCTACTTATTCACCTTTCTGGGACACCACCATTGCTCTAGCATTTTCTGTACTTGCTCCTTTTTTAAATCCTATTATATACAGTTTGAGAAATAAAGATATGAAAGAAGCTATTAAAAAGCTCCTTTGTTCTCAAAAGGATTTTAATATATCTAAGTAATTTAGGCTATGAATATTTATGCACATAGTGTAGTTATTCTCAACATATTTGACTCACAAATTATAAAATAAAATTTTAAAACAATTTTGCAACTAGTACCGTTCTCTCCAACATGAATTGGTAAACAGTGGTAAACAAAGTTGTCTGAAGATTTACAGATACAACAAAAAGAAAAACAACCAACACTCAATTTCTAGGGAGTGGGAATCCCTCCCCCCTTTATCTCTAACTTTATCTATTCCATTTTAATGTTCTCTTTTTCTTCAAATAAACAAGTATTCCAATAGCAGTACTTGAGTGTCCAGCTTCTTTCCCATCTTAGATATTTGTCTTGACAGTGCAATAGTGTCCTTATACAATCCATATGGTGCAGTTAGAGCACATACTCTTCCATGGCACTAAGATGATTTGCCAGGAACCATTCAGTAAGATTTTGAATAGCTAAGGAGAAGCATGGTTCTTGACAGCAAGATTGTAATCTTTATCTTTTTTCGGCTGTGTGCCTTTATCTTGTTGATGTAACAATATAGGCATTAGTTTCACCTAGATGTGATGCTGTCTTAATCATCAGACAATGAACTTTATTTGACATCAGTTAAATATTATAAGAGATATAAGACTTCTACATTTTAAGAGCTGTTCTCTTATGTGGAGATAATGTAAAGGACTGTTAAGACAGAATTAAAGTACAACACAGATAAATTTATATCTATCACCAATACAATTTATTAACTATTTTACCTATTTCTATAGAAAAAAAAAGGTGTCCATCTATCTTTCATATGGTTGTTGCTTTGTACCATAGAGTTGGAACCTGCTCATAGCTAACCCTCCAGTGGGTTTTCAGAGGCAGTTAATTGCACAGGAGGAGATTGTCCTAAGTTCTCCCACAGAGCAGCTGATGGTCTCTAAGTGTGTGCTTTTGGGATTGCAGCACAGCTTATTGCCACTAGGCCACCAGAGTACTTTTATAGTACCTTTAATATAAATATATCTTGTACCTTTTTACTCACTTATGCTCTGATAATCTGTGCTAAAATTGAACATGGCCTAGGTGTCTACTTCTCCACAGATCATGATTGTCCACATAATAAGGCCATGAATCACAGATAACACATACATGGAGCTGACTTGAATTCTTTAGTGATGCCAAGTGTTAATGTGGATGTGGATATAAATAAATGCACATTCATATCTAGTAAGAATGCTCATTACTAAGCTACTCACAGAAAAATCTGGTAGAAATTAAGTTAAACTCAAGTGTATACTCTCACCTACCAATATTGATTTTAAGGTTGTTTTCCAAACACATAACCACACTTCGTGTAAAAAGTGTATAAACTTTATGTATAAAGTTATTGGAGGCAATGTAGGGACTTAATATGTGGGAAATATTTGAAACACCTTTAAAGAATATTTAAGATGATAGTCATAAATTTATGTGGATTAAATGTATACATACAAAACCAAAAAAATGTCAGCTTTATAAGAACATATACATAGAAGAGAACACATGTCAAATAAAATGATAGTGGTGTTGTTGTTAAGTGCCATCAAGTTATACATGACTCATAGCAACCCTATAATGAAAGACCTGAAAACTTATAACTTTCTTAATTTCTCTAAGTTCATAGAGTTTCTGGAGGCAAGATATTTCAGAAGTGGATGCTACGCATCCTTCCAAGACTGTTTTAATCTGGGAGCTCCACCAAACACTGGCTACCATGGGTAACCATTAATGCATATTACACATCTAGAAGGAATATAGGAAGGAGAATGAAAATAAAGCTGAATACAATAAATTTAAAATATAAAGTGTTTATGTAAAATATTTTAGTAATTAAAAAAACACATGGAGTTTCCAGAAATGTTCTTCTCAATTAAAAGATGTATTTGTTTATGTATTTGCAAGTCATAGCACAGAGATGTGTTGTCTGTATATTAAAAGGTTGCAACACAATATTCTCTGTTATATAAGTTACCTTATAATACTAATTAGTGTCTCTTCTACAAGTGGACTGTTTTAAAGTATTCAATTATTTTTCTTCATAAACAATGCCATGTTTAAAATCTATATATAAATGTTCAGTGTTATATTGTTCTGAGATCAATTCTTAAAGGTATAACTGTAGGTTTACTAATATTCCAAACAGTAAAATAAAATTCATCCAGAAAATTTGATTGAAGATACCTACTTCAACATTTGGTGAAATTTCTCTTTGACCAAAGTGAAAGTAGTTCCCGGGCAGTGGTTTTCACTCTTCTTCACTCTGCGTGCGCACCTCTGGGTACAGAACCACATGCTTTTCCTGTAAGGCAGGTAGAATTCTCTACCCCCCATAAGCTACACCCTCTTTTTACAATGCTTCTGGCCCAAGTTGTCCAATCACCCCCTTGCCCTCTGTGCTCAACTCACCTCATTATTCACCATGTGGTGGACAGGATGCTGCTCCTCACCTTCCTCTCTGCTACTCTCCTTCCTTCTCCTTTCCCTCACCACTCAAAACTCAGCAATACCTCAGACCACATCCACAAAGTCCTGTTTCTGGAGTCAGAAGCTGTCAGAATGTTCTTCCAATGTACCAATGTACCAATCCTGGCCTGCAATTGGCCTCCTAATTAGAAGGAGCACCTCCTCTGATTGGCAGGTCCCCATCTCCTGAACTGTCAAAGACATCATCTTTAGCCAAGTTGACTCTCTGAGGGCAGCAGAAACTGTCCCAGGCCAGGTGTCCCATTTCTTGACAGATCCTTAACAAACCTTTCCCATAAAATACACGTTTGTTTTATATTATTTGTATGTTTGCTTGTTTTGCGATTTCCTATTAATGAATACAGCACTTAACTGTTAGTTTGCTGTACTGATAGAATGTTGTGTGATCTACTATGCTAGGAATGAAAGAACTCAAGAAGAATGATGTTGCATTCATAGTTAAAAAGACAATTACAAGATCTATTCTGAAATACAATACTGTGACTGATAGGATACTATCCATAACAGAAAGACTTGTTAATAAGACTATTACTGACACATATGCACTAACAACTAAAGTGAAAGAAGAAAAAACTGAG